TTTTTTTCGTAATGTGTGGAATAGAATAACATAACAGGTAAATACGCTTCATACGGTATAGTGAATTTCGATCTCGACGTTAGCCAATACCGCTTCATTAACGCCATTTGACTGCAATTAGTCAAATTAGTGCATTAATTACTTTGGTGATTACAATTATATTTCTGACCAAACATTTTTTTTAGTTAAATACGGCATACAGTGTCCAGCATAAAGTTGGAACCACATGTATATTTTTTTTAATATTAGAGTTTGATAAAAACTTTTGGTGACCGTGAAGCAGAAGTGCTGCTTCCAAAATAACTAAAAATGCAGCAATTTGATGCCCATTTTTTTTAAATACGCGTCTTGAAGCGTACTTTCAAGATATTATATATTGTTGAAATTGATAAAATTGAAAGTACGCTTCAAGACGCATATTTAAAAAATGGGCGTCAAGATATTATAGTCACAATTCCGAGAATTTAGAAGCGGCAACGCTAAAACAATATATACGTCGCGTCAAAAAAAGGTAGTCGCGTAGAAAACGTTATAAAACTGGCCCAAATTAATATTTTTCAAAATCTCTAAAAGTCCCGCAAACTTGAAGAGATTTATGATTTTTCTAGCCCAACCCAGTCAATATCGTACAATAAACAAAGAAATGGCGTCATTGTTAATTAAGGCTTGCCAAAAAATTCAATCGTTAATTACTCGAAAAATGATCAACAGATCGAGCTGAAATTTTTGTAACTTCATACGACAACATTCAACAGCAGTTCATCCAAGAAATGTCATGATCATAGTCGCTCTAATTTCGAAGTGAAAAAAATAGTGAAAAAAAGCAGTTTTTCAACTTCACCAGTCATTTGCAAGTTAACAATAGCACGTGGCGATTTCGGGTTGGGCTTAAAATTTGGTAAATTCGATAGGCCACAACTTCTTAAATGCATATGCATTATAAAATATACCAAGGAACCGAGATGTATGCGAAAATGTGAAAAAAAGACGTGTTTTTTTTTCACAAATTGTTAATTTAAAAAATTAGCGGATGGTTTCAACTCTACGGACCCCGCGCATTGTGTTATATGCAAAAAAAATACATAGGTAACCGTCAAAACCAGCCCAATATGTTTCAAGAACACATAAAAGTCTCTGCCTACTGGACTGTACATCAAATTTGGCTCAGTTGGGCTGACATTTTCCACGCATGTTCATCACATTCGTCGTTGATTAGAAAACATATGACATTTTACCTCAAAGAATAGTGTTAAAACATTGATTCAGTCAAAACTTGTATTCAGTCGCCTAAGTCCTAAGTTTTAATTTTATTTTAGTTCAGATGGTAGTCACATATTTTATTTTAATGATAATCTTTTTTTTTTTTTCAGAAAACTACAAATGCTGGAAAAATGATAACCATAACAAATATAAATACTCAACATATACCAGACAAACTTGAAACCCAAAAAAAAAATTGAAAAATGATGACTACAACAAATAATAGAAGTACTCAAAATATACCAGACAAACTTGAAACCCAAAGCAGTTTGTATTTTTGCCTTCAAAAAAATTTATAAATATCAAGCCTCCACATTACAATACCCTCTTAATAAAGATAACATATTTGTTAACACATATTTTGTCAACTTTAATTTTCAGTCGATGTTGTTTCCATGAACCATAAAAGAAAATGAAGCACTTGGAGCACAGTTTATAGCACATATACTTTGCCGTTGTGTAGTAAACAGAGCCTTTAGAATCGTATAACTTAATGAGAAGCTATATTTTTCGATATTTCTGTCTCGTGACGCATACATATACATATAACGAGCGCTCTTTTTGACATTTCTTGTAATAATAAAGTCGTATCGGTGAGCAGCATTTACATATAACATGATAGTAATTTGTGTTGTGTTTCTAATCCACTTAATAAGCCGGAAAATGTGAAAAAGTTGATAAGCAGCTCCGATTTCAAAAATTTTTGTTTTTACTTGTTCTTTAGACCCTCAGGAACATTCATCACCACTAACATCTGCCTTGCTATGAGAAATTACAAAATTAGGGTAGCCCCAAAGCATCCCCAATAGTAAAAGTGATACAAAATTTTTAAATTCAAAATTTCACCTCGGAAATCGTCTCTCGGGGGTTTTCGAGGTCGCTGATTACGAGTCCGAGGTCTAATTACAACAATTCAGATTCTCAATATGATATGCGCGCGAATTTTGGTTTTAATGTAGTTAAATTATTGAAAAAATAAATTACGAGTGTAATAAAATCGTTTTTCAAGTTTTCTTTAATTTCAAAAAAACTGGGTTCATAAAATGAGCACAAATATAATTGAGCTCAATCATAATCGGAGTCGTTTTCGAGCATTTTTGAGGGAATTTTGAAACATAAATTTGAATTTTTCACGGCGAAAATTTCATACTTAAAAGTAAAATCCTACAGCTTACAAACGAATCGAAAGTCGAAAACTTGAAGGTGGAATTATATTGCTCCATTGCATTAGACGTTTAAATTTTTGTAATTGAACTTAAGATTCTTGACCAGCGACCCGGAAAACCCCCGAGAGACGATTTCCGAGGTGAAATTTTGAATTTTTAAAATTTTTCCATCTCTGTCACTTCTAGGGGTGGTTTTAATGGGGTGCAACTACCCTCACTCGATTTTTTCTTTTTTCTCACTCCTTGGATTCGTAATCAGCGACCCCGAAAACCCCCGAGAGACGATTTCCGAGGTGAAATTTTGAATTTTTAAAACTTTTACTATTGGAGATGCTTTGGGGCTACCCTAATTTTTTCATTTTGCATAGCAAGGCAGATGTTAGTGGTGATGAATGTTCCTGAGGGTCTAAAGAACACGTACATACAAAAATTTTTGAAATCGGAGCTGCTTATCAACTTTATAGCAACAAACTTTAATAGGTTTCATGTCGTGTAAACAAATTTGCTTTGTCTATATATTATATATTTTATTTTTCTAATAAATTCTAATTCCTCGAATTATTACCTTTTCAAAACAAAATAGCTCAATACTTTTTAAATGACAGTTCTTCTTTTTTTCATTCTTCTTTTTTTTTCTGGTCTAGTCCTCAATGGTAGCTGCGATCTGTTGTCGCTAATTACTTTTTAAATAAAATATGTCCCATCGTTCTGAAGCAGACATAGATACTTATATATTTCTGAGAAGGAAAAAAAATCAAGGAATCATATGCAAAATATATAGGGTGTTCCGTTTAAAAAAACACAGCTTTGGTTCAGTTTTATGGTTTCTGATGTTCAATTGTTTTTTTCTCACATCGTGTTATAAAAATGTATGCAAAACTCTATAACTTTTGTCTGAAGAACTTTTTTTCTAACTTTAATAATAAACTCCTAATAACTTGTCAATTTGTGGAAAGTTCGAAGTTTTTTTTATTGATTTCCAAATGAAATGTGTCGCGACCTGCCAAAGCAAAAATAAACATGTCAAATATTTTTGAAAAAGGGAAAATTTGAGGAATCAGAATTTGCAATAATATATAGGGTATCCCATTTAAAAAAAAACACACAACTTTGGTTCAGTTTTATGATTTCTGATGTTCAATTGTTTCTTTCTCACATCGTGTTATAAAAATGTATGCAAAACTCTATAACTTCTGTCTGAAGAACTTTTTTCTAACTTTAATAATAAACTCCTAATAACTTGTCAATTTGTGGAAAGTTCGAAGTTTTTTTATTGATTTCTAAATGAAATATGTCGCGACCTGCCAAAGCAAAAATAAACATGTCAAATATTTTTGAAAAAGGGAAAATTTGAGGAATCAGAATTTGCAATAATATATAGGGTATCCCATTTAAAAAAAAACACACAACTTTGGTTCAGTTTTATGATTTCTGATGTTCAATTGTTTCTTTCTCACATCGTGTTATAAAAATGTATGCAAAACTCTATAACTTCTGTCTGAAGAACTTTTTTCTAACTTTAATAATAAACTCCTAATAACTTGTCAATTTGTGGAAAGTTCGAAGTTTTTTTTATTGATTTCTAAATGAAATATGTCGCGACCTGCCAAAGCAAAAATAAACATGTCAAATATTTTTGAAAAAGGGAAAATTTGAGGAATCAGAATTTGCAATAATATATAGGGTATCCCATTTAAAAAAAAAAACACAACTGGTTCAGTTTTATGATTTCTGATGTTCAATTGTTTTTTTCTCAAATCGTGTTATAAAAATGTATGCAAGACTCTTTAACTTTTGTCTGAAGAACTATTTTCTAATTTCAATAATAAACTCACAATAACTTGTCAAATTATAAAAACTAACCCTGGACAGGATATTATCTTATAGTGCACCTACTACCTAGTATTTAAAATATTGAATTTACCTTAGTTGTACTCGCAATAAGAGTATCATATACATATACATATTTACTTTGTGTTTATATACTCTCAAGTTTTATTTTACATTTGTGTATTTTTGTGTATATTTGTGGTACAGTATGTAATTTGTGTATCATAAGAAATAAGTGAAAATATTTTGTAAATGCGGATTATATCGTGTTAATGTATTTGTTACATAATCAGACCTATGATGTATCATTTGACATTATTTATAACAGCGCTGTTATCATTCATATCCAATCAGGATCTGACTTTTTAAATAATACCAGTTTCCGATTGGCGGGAGCTGTTAACATTATAAATAACGTCCTTATTGTAGTAGGTATACTTATACTTAAATATACTTAAGTATTCGTGATATACGAGGTCTATGTTGGTAACCAATTAAATACCTACTAAATACTATATGTTGGTTAGTTGGGTTTTACCTTGTCTTTGACAGATCATATGTCCTATGCAGCCCATACTAACGCTAGTAATCCTTAAGTCAGGAAGAAAATTATAAATACATATATTCACTGATGGATCAAAATTAAAGAATGGCGCAGGCTGCTGTGTTTACTCATGAGAAAAAAAGAGAGTACACATGAGAATGGCGGAGGAGAGACAACCAAACCCTATGACAATTGCCAATTGCCACAAGCGGGAATCGAACCCGCACAGATGATAGCTCTCGGAGTAATCATCTCTCACCCGGCATCATCTCACAATCATCATATTCTCACCTCTCTTCTTTACCCATTGAGCTATCGCCGCAGCACAAAGCCCAGAAATTCAAACAAAAATTGACTTCGGATGGTAAATCAATAATCATCTACACAAACGGAGTAGGCAAACAATATTGAGCCTAAAACGCTATAAAATAGTGTCGTGGTCAGTATGGGAATGTGATCAAGCACTGGTTGACACGACCAACTCTAACAGAATATCTGTGAGTTGGGCGAAAGGCCATGAACAGTGCAAAGGCAATAAAGAAGATGACAAATTGGCTCGAAATGCGGCAAGTCTAAGTAATTTAGTATCCTGCAGTATGCAGTAATTATGCCAATGGTCAAAGGATGCACCCATGAGAAATTCAGAAAGGTGTAGGTTGAAAAGAAAACATCTGTCGGTTTGCTAGGCAATTTATGCAGTACTCCATCAGGACGTCGCAGACATATTTAGGCATGACAAGGAAAAACTTAAGCCTTGTAGCAGGAATCCTGAGAGAACACTATCAGTTATGGTATTAGGAGATCATTGGCCTTCCATAACCATGGCGAGGGTGTTCCCCTTGGGCTACGTCACCACCTTTTCCGAAAGAATTGGTTGGTTAGAGCCATAACTTGGGCAGCTCCTTCAGGGAGATCTCACAAGGTGCCCAACGGGGCATAAGTGCTGTGACGCTCACGGAGTCACACTCCATTAGCTCCAGAATGCAGAATAGAACATGTTGTTATTATTATGGTCACAGTGTCATGCAAGGACTTACATAGAGTAAATCCAAAAATCTTGCGAAAACAGATTGCTCAAGGATGTCTTAGGATGTATGTAGGATGTCTTTCTGCCAATCGAAAAGGGTTTATGGGAATCCGCCCTCTCCCCTCAAACCGCCGACGCTCATATCCCTACACCGCGGGCACACGTGAAAAATTGGGGAAGGCCGATGCAAGTGCATCGCGACGGCGTCCCGACCCCTCGTTGCGCCCCATGTTATCACGGAGGGTAGTAGCTCCCCTCACGGGGGTGCCTACTTTAATAAGCAAATACACCAACGGCATTTAATGAACGCACTTAGGGGTACGTGTACACGTATGCAAGTATATGTCGCTAGCGCCGCGGCGCTCATCGCTCAGTGCACGCGTCTCCATGGGCGGCCCCGCGAAGAGGACAGAAGGGATGTTTGCCCTTCGTTCGGTCCCTAAAAGAGAGAGCATAGATAAGGAGAACGAGCGATTGGAAAATATCCGTGCGGGTCAGTAAATGAAAGATAAAATGAGAGCCTGAACATTAGCTTTGTTCGATTATACAGGGCGTTTTTGAAAAAAAATGCCTGTAGGTAGAACGCGGTAAATTGCACTTTCAATTTTCAATCGCTCGTCAATTTTGTGTCGCTTGTCATGAAAAGAAACAAAATGTTGCAAAATAAAATAGTATATGCGGAATTGACAGACAATGCTAGCTTATTAGTAGGAGAGCTGGTAGACATTTTTGGGAAGGTATTTGAGGCAATATGAAAAGTTGCTCAAAACTTCCTTTAATGATACCTAAATACAAAAATGCAGACCTGGCTGAAGGGTTAGGGAGCTTAAGCGACCATTAAATTTTTCAAGAAGCGAAATAATTTTTGCAAAAAATCTTTAGGCACATTGAGATTTTAACATTTTAAAATTTAATATTTAATGAGTTGATAAATCAAAAAGCCAGATCATTGAACTGGGTCAAAAAGTTTGCCAGACGTTTGCAAAAATATTTTTCAAAAAAAATAAAAAAATGTACTTGAGGCACTTTGAAATTTTTGTAGGGTATTAATCGTGATTAAAAATAGTTGATTACAAAAAGACCGGTCGTTTTGGTGGGATATTTTACCTGCCAGGTGAGTGAGAATGTTCAACGTGAGTGCGAGTGAGTGATGCGGTGCGCAAGTTGAAATGCGAGAGAACGCGTATATCGGCAGCTGTCTCAAGAGGAAGCACGATGCAGTGTGATTGGTTCCCGCAAAATCACGTGATTAACAGCGTTCGTTTGTAAGAATTTTGGAGTCTTTAAAACGTTCTTAGTCGTAATTTTCTTATTTAAAAACTTTTATATACTTATTTATAAACGAAAAGGAGTAGAGTTTGTTGTAAATATTTATCGATGCGCGACATAACTCAGCAAATAAAATGTTTTTTATTTACTCTGTGATTGCTTTAATTCAATTTAATTTTTAATAATCATCATGAAATATAGTAAACTGAAAAAGTGAATAAATATAAATATATATTTTATAATAAAATCCATTGAAATGAAATTTTGATAAACGTATATAAATATGTTTTTATCTTATTCATCGTCAGAATTTGTGGCTCCTTTTCAGCGAACTCCTCATCGGAGCTTGAATATTCTTCTTCTTCTTCTTTTTCTTCTTCGTATTCTTCTTGTACTTTAACCCATGTTTTTTTTTTCTAATTTCCAACACTTTATTACTTTTTGACATTCTATGTCTTTATTATGGGATTGCCCCTGGAAAATATTGCGTCATGAGTCACGTCACGCACGATGGTTTGCCTAACCTGAAGAGGCAAAATCTGGGGTAGGGAAAAACTCTATCGAGCATCATGTATGTGACGCATGACGTCATGGGTCTTGATGGTTTGCCTAACCTGAAGGGGCAAATTCTGGGGTAGGGAAAAACTCTATCGAGCATCATGTATGTGACGCATGACGTCATGGGTCCAAAGCCATAGAATGTTCCATGGCCTCACGTGCGTAGCTTCGTGAGTTTCAATCTGTTTTCAATGTCTTCTCATTAAAAAGAATTATTTTTTTCAGTGTCTTTTGTGCAAATAACACCCTTTTTTTACACAATTATCACTATTCATTGCAAATAATCACCGACAAAAGAGGACTTTTATAAAAACACATGTTAGATAAATACGTTTCAGTATACGACTCAGAACGTTTTAACTACTCCAAAATGATCTGGCTTTTTGATTTTTCAACTCTTTAAATATTAAATTTTAAAATGTTAAAATCTCAATGTGCCTAAAGAATATTTTTTGCAAAAATTATTTCGCTTCTTGAAAAATTTAATGGTCGCTTAAGCCCCCCTAACTCTTCAGCCAGGTCTGCATTTTTGTATTTAGGTATCACTAAAGGAAGTTTTGAGCAACTTTTCACATGGCCTCAAATACCTTCCCAAAAACGTCTACCAGCTCTTGGATTATATGGTGCTGCACAGCAAAATGCGTATAAAAAAATAATGTGAGTATCAGAAATTGGCACTCTTTAGGAACTATCTAAGCATGTGAAAAATACTATTCTCCAACAAGGCTTTTTCTTCAACCAATGTCTTTGACGCGTTTAGAAGCGAACGTCACGTTGAACTTCAACGTTTCGGTTGCAACGGTTGACAAATTGCAGTTGTGAGCTGCAGGCACAAGCACAATTTTTGCCGATGATAGCATATCTGACCACAATATAACATACTCCAATTTTTTTCATGAAGTCTGTACTTAAACACTGTGGGTATATCGTCAAACCATCCAAGAACGGTCTTGGAGTAAGTTGAACTTACTGCAAGTTCGACCTGTCTTGTGTTGAATAGAAATTTAGAAAATTGAACCAGCATGATTCTGTTACAGGTCTAGGAATTTCTGTTGCTGACAAGAACTTCTAGAATACCTCCAAACGATCTAAAATAAGGTCCTTTCATAGTCCTAGAACCAGTCATAATTTGTTAAAAAATGAATTCGACCACCATATTCATGTGTCCCAGGCTGATTTCCATACTCCAGGCGTGTTCTTCTGGAACAGTTCCGTTAGCAAATCGAACCAACGTACAGGATTATTATTATTACCTATATTTTGTGAAAGGGAAGGTTTTATAAGGTTCCATTCTCGACCCCTCCGTAGGAGTGACCGTAATTTTGGACTCCTTTCTCCAAAAATTAGGTAGTTGGTTTGAAAGGTTTCGATGTAGGTCTAAATAAATATAGAATATCATCGAAATTTATTTCTTAGGCACAAATTACAGTCAATCTGAATGATTTAGGTATTTTTCACATTTGGATCACTACATTTAACTATAGACCTCAATATTTTAACAACCCTAAGTCCTATTGAAATATGGTTGACAAAATATTGGAAAATGGTTTAAAAAAATCACGACGACACTGTCCTTTCTCTGTCACTATATAAACGTCGCATATCAATAAATCGTGGGAAATCAACTTTTCATAGAATTAATTTCTTATGTTTGGAACCGTACATAGAAATTCAAAAAAAAATGCGTAAAAAACTTAACGAATGTGTCTTTCGTCCATTTCTTTGGACGCAGAACGGTATCTTTAAAATATTTTAAATTAGAGAAATCCAATTATTGTTCTGCCAAAAATGTATCCTAACCATTTTTTGAGATTCAGTCTTGGAAATTGTGAAAAAATTTGTTGTGAAAGTAGTAAAGGATTTCTCATGCGCTGTAAAATATAGAGTGTCCGCCACTGTTCACCCCCAATTTTCATATTAGGACCGCCCATGCTCCCGAGGGGTGGCAGATACGCAAACCCCCACGTTGTGATGCGACATTAATTATTCCGCAATCGTGCTGAAAGATCCGGAAATAAACGACACTTCTTTATCGGTATGCTAAAAGGCGATAAAATTTCGAGTCTACGGTAAGCAGTTTTATGATGCACCAACAAAAATCTTACGGGTCCGGGTAACTTCCTAGGTAATTGTTTATTCTATACAAATGTATCTGTGACTACTTTGTTTTTTACGGAATCAAAATAGAAACGTGGACAAAACTGGAATCAAAATGGAGATGTTTAAACGAAATAAAGTCAATTTTACTTCGTTGTTTTATAATAGCTGTATCAAACGAATAACAGCACTAGCACACAAAAAAAGAAAAGTGGTCATTACTTTTGACCAGACCCATCTAGGGTTATGTATTTCGATGCGCTGAATCGGAATTTGAGGTCAGTTTAACCCGTACACCCTCAAAATTTTGAGTTAAATGCAAAAAAAACACTAAAAATCGCTAAAAATAGCAAAAAAAATGCAGTTATGCA